CTCATCATATAACTATAAAAACCTTAGAAAACTGTTCATGTGATAGTTCTGAAATAACAAACTAATAAAAATCTAATTGACCAAGGAAGTGGCCTTAATAACAAAAAAAAAAAAATAATAATAATAATTTTTTATATATAAGCTATAATTTTTTTTTTTTTAAAGCTATCTCTTTAGCTGATTAGATTTTATTAATTTATTATTATAGAGTTACTATAGTAATAATCTATTAAGGTTTTAAAGTTATATACTGAGTATATAACAAGTTATAAATACAATTTTAGTTATTATCTAATTTAAATAGTTTGCTATACAGATAATAGACTATCTGATAGTTTTATACTATATTGCTATACTTGTAATCTACTTATAAATGATCTATTTAAATACTCTAATTATTAACTCTTCTTTTATTCTAAACTAATATCATTATTATATTTGACTGTTTAAGCTAGCTAACTTGTCTATAGATCTATTTACTATATGACTTAAATTCTCTTAAAATACGTATTGTCTAATATATTGTGAATATACAAAGCTCTAGTTAATTTTAGAAATAATTCTTACCAAAGTAGTCATATATCTATTTTATAAATTTATCTAAATTAGACTCTTGTAATATTTATACAACTCTAGTTCTTACTGTAGCTTTCTACTAATTTTATATATTCTATCTTTTAGAATATTTTACAAGGCAAATATTCTTAATTCAGTTAGCTGCTAAACCAAATTAGTATTGCTAATTCTCTCTATAAAACAGACTTATATATATCTAACTTGATTTATATTTTTTTTAATAATAGTTTCTTTTTTTAGATCAAGTATTAAATAGTATAACTATTAAAGTTGTACTACTTCACCAACTTGAGATTTCTACTATACAAATTTTCTATCTATAAATCTTATCAAGATTTATTTATACAATATTATATTATACTTCTAATATTTAGATAATATTAATATAATATGATTTACAGAATTACAATTTCAAAAAAAACAAAATTTACTGTAATTTAAGTACAAAAGTTCAAGTAATTATTCAAATTTGTTGATAGTAAGATTTGAACTCTAGACTTCTTGTATAGCAGTCTGACAATCTAACTACTATACTAAGATTATCAGATCTATAAGCTATAATTTTTTAATAAGTAATACTATATAATGAGTAAGAGTAAATTTGGAAGCAAATTTTCAGAAAAATGATCTTTTTAACTTACTTTTAACCTATAATTAATATAAAGATATTACAATATTCTATATATTTAATTATAGATTCAAAATAAGTTTAAAAAGCTGTTTTTATGACAACTCACTTTATATACAAATTTTAAACAAGGTCTGGTGATCTTAGTATAGTAGTTAGATTGCCAAACCGCTATGCAAGAGGTCTGGAGTTTAAATTCTACTGTTAACGAATTTGAATAATTACTCAGACTTTTGTACCTAACTTATAGTAAACTTGACTCGTTTCTGGAGATTACAACTCTGTAAATCATATTGCACTAATATTAATTAGATATCAGAAGTGTAACACAATATTCGAGTTATATTGCATAAATAAATCTTAATAGAATCTATGAGTAGAAGACCTGCATAGTAGAAATCCTGAGTTTGGTAAAGTAGTATAGATTTTAATAGTCAAGCTAGTTAATGTTTGATCTAGTGAAAAACCTGAGTATGAAAGATGTGAGATCAATAAGTATAAGTAAGTCTACTATATAACACAACCTGGTGCCTTGCATTAGTAGCAACACTAACTTGGCTTAGCAGCTAACTAGATTGGGAGGATCTATCTTATAAAACATCTAGCTAGAACTTAGAAGACTATATCTAGTAGATGACTATAACAAGAACTGAGTTCATATGAACATTGACAAAGGTTTAAGCCAAGAGAATCTGTGAAATAGGCATATGACTACTCTGGTAAAAATTACTTCTGAGGTTAGCTAGAGCTCTGTAGCTCACAATATATTAAGTAATATATATCTTGAAAAAGATCTAAACTATGCAGTAAATAGATCTGCATATAAATTGACTGGCTTAAGTGGTTAGATATAGTGATAACATTAGTTTAGAATAGAGAGAAGAGTTAATAATCAGAGTATTTAAATAGATAACTCACAGACATGTTGCAGATATAGCAGCATAGTATAAAACCAACAGATGGTTGATCATCTGTATGGCGAACTACTTAAATTAGACAATAACTAAAGTTGTATATGTAACTTGTTATATACTCATCATGTAACTGTAAAACCTTAGAAAACTATTTATATGATAGTTCTATAATAACAAACTAATAAAATCTAATTAGCCAAGAAAGTGATCTTAATAACAAAAAAAAAACAAATTTTAAACAATAATATTTGTTATTATGATTAGCTGATTTTGGGATCAAACCAAATCAACCTTAGCATTAGATAAATTATCAAAAATAGAAACTGTGCTAATTTTTTTTTTAAAAACTTTGAGCAGAAATATCTCAGCAACTAACTAACCAAATTCTATACTTTTTTTTTTTTTATTTGAATTCCAAGAACCTTTAGTCAAAATTGATCAAGTAAGTGTCAAGATATCTTCACTCAAAGCTTCAAAAAAAATTTTAGCGCAGCTTTTATGTTTTTAATAGAAGTTAAAATTTAAATAAAAAAAATTTTTTAATCGAATTTAGTCATGTAGGTGTTGAAATATCTTCGCTCAAATTCTAAAAAAATTTGCACAATATTTCAATATTTTGAGATTTAAATTTTCTTAAAACTTTGTGCAAAGATATCTCGACAACTATCTGGCCAATTCGATGAATTTTTTTTTTTTTTTTTTCTACGCAGAATGCGTCTTTTTATTGAATAAAATAAAAGTTATACAGATTATATATCAAAGTTTAAAATTTTTGCTATGCTATCTTTGTCTAAGCTAGACTTTTTGAGTGATAAGCACTTTTGTAAAGTTCGATGAATTTTTTTAATTGGAATTTAATGAATTTGTGAAAAATTTCATCAAATTTAGCCAAGTAGTTTGTCAAGACTTTTTTACTCAAGGGTTTAAAAATTATACAGTACATGCGTAAAATTCTATTGGTTGAAATGTTGTGTCATCGAGAATTTTTGGTGTTTTTGGGGTAGTTGCGGGACTTGTTCACATCATCCAATTAGATGGCGCTTTGGCCGAGACTCTTAACTCCGTTTCCCTACTCTCCGGATATTTTTTCCAAAAAAAGAATCAAATTTATAATTATTAATTTCGGTTTCGCCAGGTTTCGGGCATTTCGCCAGTTTCGGAATTATCGGATTCAGGTCATATATTTCGCCCTAATTTCGCCCTATATCGGAAATTTCGCATCGTGATATAAAAATTGGAAAGAGGAGATTATTTAGAAAGCAAGTAATTTAATGTCTTGAATCATGCAAAACTCAAAGAATAATCGTGCTGTAGTGATAATTCCTAAAAAGGAATTGGTTTCAAATAAAATGACTTGCCAAGCGACTATGGGAATTGACGACACGTAGACATTAGACATTATCCACCATTGATGCTCCTGCAATTCCCATGGCCGCCCTGGCAGAGTCTGATAAAAATCGTTTCACAATATGTAAATTAAAATCGATTTTTAACTTTAGCCTTTACTATTGCGTTGACGCGTCATTTTAAACGAAACACTTCAAAGGAATCAAAAGTGTCCTACATTATTCATGGGCATTATAAAAGCGTTTCTTGGATTATTTCTAGTGAGTCATGTAAACTTCGAATTGAGCTAAATTGAGAATCAAAGACACTTCATATGATCACTTAATACATTTTAGTTATTGTAAAGACAATGAAAACACGGTTAAATTTAGTTTCGTATAAGAAACGCAATCTCTGATTTGTGCGACTATCCAAGTATTTCATATAATTGTATCACAGAATTTGACTACGTACAGAAAACTGCTCAGATTACCTTTCCCAAGGTCACGAAAAATTTAACATGTTAATAAATTCCGAAAAGTTACATTTTAGTCATAATAGTACTTACTGTACACAGTGTACGTATAAAATTGAACATGCGCTTATGATTGCACATAAATAATTTATTCAAAAATAAATATTGTTATATGGGCTGACCGTCAATAGAAATCAGACAGATTAACATTTTATAAATAATAATATCCTAACTTTAGAAGCTTATGTCTCGATGAATTCTGAAATTATTTTATTGAGATATAAGCTTTTAGAGTATTATTTTTTTTTTAAATGTTAATCTGCCTGATTTCTATTGCACATAAAATTTTTCTTTAACGTTAATATTCATATACGTAGCACACATAAATTAAGAATTTGTATGGGTAATCAGATCCGTACGGGCCGATTTTAAAAACCATACTAATCCGCAGTAATTCTTAACCCTAACCCTAATATTACCTGATCTGCTATAATTCCGCTACAGTTTATTCTAGTTTTCTCTTGGTGTTATATCGATACGTATCATTTTTGATATTTTAAAATTTTTATTAACAAATTTGGTTTAGAAGTAATTAATTTTGCACAATGCATTTTTAAGTTTGACTTCTGATTGAATGGCTGAGTGTCACAATCATATGATTTAATTTCTTCAAGAATTAAAAATTATCCAATTACTATAAATAAAACCGGAAATTTCTTTTGCTCAACTAATACCGTTTAATATTTATAAAAAAAAAGAAAAAGTAAGATTTACTCATATTCTTGACGGTTTATTTGAGCATATACTCGCAGATTACCAAATAGAACATCGAAATAATGACTGACAACAAACTGGTCATCAAGAATGTTGACATGAGCGACGAAATGCAAACAGAAGCACTTGAATGTGCCAATACAGCTTTGGAAAAGTACAATATCGAAAAAGATATTGCAGCTCATATCAAGCGGGAGTTCGATAGAAAATATGGCACAACCTGGCACTGTATCGTCGGAAGAAATTTCGGAAGCTACGTAACTCACGGTATGTCAATAAGAATATGGCAGTAAACCTATTTGAGATTAAATCAAAAGCATAGAATGAAATATTTTATATACTTTGTTCATTGATTAGTTGCTATTATAAATTTTGATGTTTTATGCTTTGATAAGAAATTACGCAATGATTCTTTATATAATTTCTCGCTACCTTGTCAAAAAAAAAAAAAATTGGAATCAAAAATGACTATCGTGAAATTATATTGGAATTGATTAAGAAACCGCGTAGAACAGCGCGATCAAGGAATTAATTACCAATTATTAATTGTTTTTTCTTGATTTATTATTATAATTTTTAATTATGAAAGAAACCAAACACTTCATCTATTTCTATATCGGTCAAATCGCCATACTCCTGTTCAAATCTGGGTGAATGTGGATATTTTTTTCTGAAAGTTGTTAAGATAATAGAGGAATTGACGAAATAAATGGTGATATGGGATAGCCTGATCTTACGATGTTTTCTTTTCTTCCAATTATATCTTTAAATTTGCTAGTGATATCTTACTTTTTCTTTATTCTATTTTGTACAAAGAAAAAATTTAATATATATTTTAGCATTACATATTATTATAATTATGAATTATGTAATTTATTAAACAGTGTATCAAGAGTCCTTCCAGCGCTAGATTATTTCTGGAAAAGATATAAAGAGTCTATTATTAATCTAAAGATTCCTCTGGTCGAATTTTATATTTTGGCGTCTTGAATGTGATTTTGATTTATGTAAAAAATCGATTATTTGTGCGAATATTAGTAAATTATTATTATAAAATATGGCTAAATACTTCTAAATGCACATGGTCGGGATTTTTTATTTTTTCTTCTAACTTGTATTTTTTTGACAACCTCTTGGCACTGTTTTTATATTAGTTTTTTGATTTTTTTATATCATTCTTTTCAATGTTCTTGTTTCATTTTTTTTTTATATTTTTAGATAATCTTTTAGTACTTTTTAATATTATTTTAGAATTCTAAACATTTAGTACAGAAGTCATATTTTATATTTTACCAAAATTTAAAATTTTAAAAAACTAGTTTTTTGCAACTATTTTAGGAATTTGTAGCCTAAATTGAATAAACTTTTTTTTGTCTAAAAATTTTATCAATATATATCTAACAAAAAAATTTTATTCAATTTTAATTACTATATTTCAAGATATTTAAGAAAAAAAAAAAAAACTTTTTAGTTTTTAACAATTTAGATTGTTTTTATTTTATTTTATTTTTTTAACTTGAATAGTTTTGTCTATTATTTTATTAAGAAAAAGCTTACAAAATTATAAACTAATCTAATATACTAATATACTAAATTGTTTTTTTTTTAACTATTTTATTCTAATTTAGCTATTTCAAAAGTATCTGAGTTAAGGTTTGGCGATCTTAGTGTAGTGGTTAGGTTGCCAGACTACTATGCAAGAGGTTTGGAGTTCAAATCCCACTGTCGATGAATTTGAATAATTACTCAAACTTTTGTACCCAACTTATGGTAAACCCTGTTCGTTTCTGGTGTTGTAACCTTGTAAATCACGTTGCACTAATATTATCCGAATATTGGAAGTATGACACAATGTTTGGAAAGATATAACGTTACATGAATAAATCTTGATAGGATCTACGAGCAGGGAACCTGCATGGTAGAAACCCTGAGTGGGTGAAGTAGTATAGCTTTCGATGGTTACATCGGCTAACGCTTGATCCAAAAGGACACAGTGCTCAAAGACTTTAATCGGGTTAGATACGCATAAGTCTGTATCGCAGTGGTGATCACTATATGTTATGGTAATAACAACTTGGCTTGGCAGCTAACTAGATTGGGAGGATCTAGCTCGTGATAGGCCTTAGCAAGATCTGTAAACGACATTAGTGGAGAGCTACGATAGGAACTGGGGTCGCACGAATATTCACAAAGGTCTTAGCTAGGTAAATTCGTAAAATAGGCACAGACCACTTTAGTAGGTATGCTTCTGAGGTTAACTGGAGCTCTGCGACTCACAATATATTAGATATATGCATCCTGAGAAGACCTAAGCTATGCAGTAAATAGATCCATGGGTGAACTGGCTGGCTTAAGTAGTCAGTTATAGTGGTGATGTTGGTTTGGAATGGAGGGAAAAGTTAATAATCAGAGTGTTTAAATAGGTAACTCATAGGCAGGTTGCAGGTATGGCAGCATGTGTAGAACCAACTGATGGTCGATCGTCTGTATGGCAGACTACTTAAATTAGATAATGACTAAAGTTGTACATGTGGCTTGTTGTACACTCATCATGTAACTGTAAAACCCTAGGAGTCTACTCATGTAGTAGCTCTGTAATAACAAATTAATAAAATCTAATTGGCAAAGGAAGCCACCTTAATAATAAAAAAAAAAAAAAAAAAAAATATCTGAGTTCAATCTGCTGCAAAAGTTATTTTTTTTATAAAAGCTTTAATTTATTTTTTTTTTTGTTGTTAAAAGCAGCTTACATTGTTGAAAGAATTTTATTAATATTGCAAATGAGATTATACATTAATAATTCTTACTATTTATAATTACATGAAGAGTATACAACAAGCTATATATATAACTTTAGTTATTGTCTATTTTAAGTAGTCTGCTGAATAGGTGTTAGATCATTCGATTAGTTTTATTCTATATTGCTATATCTGTAATCTGCTTGTGAGTTACCTATTTAAAAACTTTGTTCATTAACTTATACAGATTCAACTTAATATTATCACAACATCTAACCACTTAAATCAGCTAGCTTGTTATAGATCTATTTATTCAAAATAGCTTAGATCCTCTTAGAATATATTATATCAGATACATTGTTAGTATTACAAAGCTAATTAACTTCAAAGCAAACCTATTAGAGTGATATTGTAATATTATTTATAAAAACTATCAAGTTTTTATAAATTATAAGTCAAAGTATTAAGTAGACTAAGTTTTATATTAAAATTAAAAGGGTTTTTAACAAAAATAATTTAAGATATTTTTATAATGGAACAATATTAAATAGTTTTTAAAGATAAAAATGTTTTATTATATGTTTTAATATATATTATATAGTGGATAAGATAATAAAATAGAACTTGTATAGAACTTGTTTAAAACTTGTTATTTTAAAAGGGCAAAAAGTAACCCTTTATATATCTTTTCATAATATTATTTTTAGAAAAATACTATATGTTGTAGAAGATTCCAAGAGATGCTATGAGATAGAACATGTGCTAGAACCATATGGTATGTCATATGGTATGGTCTGCATCAGATTTCCTGACCATATGCATTGCACAAGTTAGAAAATAATACGATATACCTTTTGGTATTATAAAACTAAAAATAGCGATTACTCAATAACTTATATAATGATTTGTAATGAAACACATATTATCATGAAGCTAGTAACCTTCTCTACAATTCTTATTAGAGGTCCAAAAAGAACTGAGCGCTCCTTGGTTCGCTATTACTGTTCCAGACCAAAAATATATACTAACTATTATAAGACTATATAATTAATAACTATAAATAATTTCTAGTCATTTGACTAGTGCGACAGGTCACACCTGGGCACTCTAGAAGCAGCCGGGTGAGGTCAAACTTAGATATTAGGTAGATTTTTTTTAATCAAATATAACTTAGCTACGGCTCTAGTTAACAACTTAATAAAGTTTATGACGTGACTGTCAAAGGAAAAAAAAAAAAAAAATAGCTTTATTTTTTTATTAAAATATAGTATTTATTCAAAATTCTATTTTAAATCATGTTATATATCTAATATATACTACTTTTAGTTATCCTGATCTTGCTATGTTTTATAACAATATTAATAAATCTACAGATTGCTTTATTTATAATAGTTCTAATAATTATTATGAAAAACTAATTGTTATTATTCAATTTGATAGTAAATGATATTATTTTATAAATAAATATGAGATATTTTAAATTTCTTTAAAAAACTTCAAATTTCTAACTTAATAAAATCTTGAAAATTAATTCTTCTTAATTCTTCTCAACATACTAGCAAAATCAGTTGCATATAGAGTATAAACTAATATTCTAGATTTAATATATATATTTATATTTGTGTTATAAAAAGTCTATTTTATATTTAGATATTTTTATTATTTTTATTAAAGTCAATTGATTAACAAACTAAAATACCAAATATATATATTTAAATAATACTAATAATACTAAATTAAAGACTTATCAAATTGAAATAAACTAATTTTTAGCAGATATTTGAAATAACATATAGGTAGAAATTTCTAATTTCTATGATTATTTAGTTTGAATAGTAAGATTAAATAGAATCTAAGTCAATAATATATAAAATATAGTATGATTACTAATATTAAAAGTAATAATTTGATCAGTGATTGTAAAATTGCTTATAAATTTTTATATCTTATTTATGAATAGTAATCTGAATAGGTTAACTAGAATAACTCAAAACTAATCTAAATATGATCAATTTCAAATCATTTGAGTAAGCAATTTATAAGTATTACTTTGTTATCACTTAATTTAATAATCATAGCACTCTAATTAGAAATTTCTACTTATATGAAGATCTTCTAACCTAAATTATGACTAATACAAACCAGTTATTTAAATTTTGCTTATCATAGTAAAAATTCTATATGAAATTCAAAAAAATCTTATACATTATATACATACCTATCACTAATTATAACAATTGCTTAATTTTTGTTTTTATTTTTTTGTATTCTGCTTTGCTCTTTTTTAAAAGTAGAATAGACTAATAATAAATGAATTATTATTAAAAATATACTACTAACTTAAATATTACTTGTATATCTCAAAGAAGAAAACATGTATCAAAAAAATTATTAAATTATTGCAAGACTAAAATATATAATAGGTTAATTGACAAATTAAAAATATTTTTTGTTTTACTTCAAAATTTCATTTATCTTATAATTTTGCGATTATCTATGTGGATATTTGAGTTTATTACAATAAGTTTTGATTTGAGTGAGTTTATCTGGATGTCGTTGAACTTGAAGAATTCTTCT